TTTCGAAAGAAAACCCATACAGATAGGTATCTCAACGGTAATTCCCATCACCATCCTGGCTAGTTAGCTACCGTGGACAAATTTTTGTTTCAGAGAGCACGTGGTGTCTGCGACAGTAATCATCTGGCAGGGGAACTTCAGCATATAAAGCAAGTCCTACATGCGAATAAGTTGAAGATTCCACGCCAATGCCGCAGGCCCCGTGTGAAACCACCAACAGTCGAGCGAAGACCTGCCATTTTACCTTATGTGAGAGGTGTTACAGACAAGATCGGAAGAGTTCTCAGGCGTGCATCTGTCAAGACCTATTTCAAGTCCCTGAGGAAGATTTCTCAGTTCCTGAGATTCGTGAAATGTAACATCCCCTTATAGGAGTTTACCAGCAACCCGCGTCAAAGAACATATAGCTGATGTCAAACACCGTCGCGTAAACAAGTCTGCAGGCTGCGCGCATGTCATGGATAAACCTACACATTCAATGATGTTTGACAAACACCAGGTCCTTGCAAAAGAAGTCCGTTATCTACCCAGGATGCTGCGAGAGGCCATTGTTGGTTTGATTTCTCCGTACCACCAGTTTGGGATCTAGTATTTCAAAATCCCAAACAGACATAAGGCTGCAGTACTAAGTAATATGTTTTAGTTTATTCTAATTTCTATTATTAATTAGTAATACATTGAACTTAATAAAAATTCATTCAATAAAATATTTGTAAAACTTAATGTAGGGGTTATGTGGAGAGGGAAACCCGGGGGGGGTTTTAGTGCGGACTCTCCCTCCAGACTGGAGGGCCTACCCCACTAAAACCCCCCCCGGGTTTCCCTCTCGCCGGTTGAGTCGGCGCCGTGGGATCTGTGAACATTCACCACGACGCCGCCCGGCCGCTTGCGCCAGGGCTCCCGCGCCAACGGAGGGGCACACTGTACCACCTCAGTCAACTGTGACCATGGGACCTGTTAAGGGCTCGAAACGTCGGTTTGTTTGAAAAAACAAATAAACGCGATTTAAATCCGGAAAAATAGTTTCATTCCCTAAGATTTTGGATATTTTGTCAGCAGTAACATTTTCAGTTGTCTTGCCATTCACCAATTTGATCAATCACCAACGGAAAACCATCTAGTAAATTTAATTAAGGCAGTTGCAAGTTCATATATTGACGATATTATTTCAAGGACAATAATTTTAATATTTGAAGTTTATTAAAAATTAAAGTTTAAATTATTAAGTAATCAAATTTTTTTTAAAACAACTTTTAATAAACGACATAACTATATTGTTTTGGTATTTTTCTACTGTATTGATATTTCACGACTATTTGTAATCAACGAATACTTGAATCGATTAATTGAATGGAATACGTGTATTCCGTTCAATCAATCGGTTTAGCGCGGAAGGAGATTTCCCATCACTAAATAGTTCTTGTGACGTCATGGTGGATACATAAAATGTCACACGCTCGGTTTTCATACAAATTGATGTATTCAATAAAATAATCTATCTAGATATATGTATGTCTGTGGTATCGACGCACATCGATGCAATCAAACGCAATTCATCGCTGCTAAAAAAAGCCGCGTGTAACCACTCTAAGAGGATAAATACGCACTCTTATTGTTTGCGTGTTTCTTACGCGTCTTGCCCGAAATCTTTTATTCAGACAACTACATCACGACAAAATACAAAAATACATAGGGGCAAAGTGTGATGTGTACCAAATATCACAGCTACTTGTCAGCCTACACGACATAATTGCTATTGTTTACAAGAAAATAATTCGCAAGTATGTTGCGTCAACCTCGCATGTTACGGATTGATGGAGATAGAGTAGTTCATCATAATTGGAGTTACCATTGTTTATGTAACTTATCTGTATGGAAGTAGATACCTATCTATTATTACACGGTTTCTGAATTCTTAAGCTGTACAGAATTGCAACTATAGTTTATTCGTTTAAAGGATGCAAGAGGAAATTCGAAATGGCCAAACGCACGGCTTTAATCACAATGATGATTCATTTACCTACTTCTTTCATGACGTAAATTCTCCAATCCCTTTTGAGAACTTACAGACGTCTTAGTTAGTAGCGGTGGATCTCCTTGAGAAAGAGTTCATCCAGGGAAACACGACCACCTTACTTATTTCTGCCGCCGAGCTGTAACATGTGCATTTTTCTATTTTGAAGAGTAAGAGCACATGAAACTTGTCAACTTGTCTCAAGATGACGGGAGTAGGCAGTGCCCCTCAAATCTTTGTGCTCCGAGTGGCACTGCAACTGTTATGGACGGGCGTGTCGCTTGGTATCATAAAAAAAAGCTATCAAGCAACATATGAAGGCAAGTGACTGCTTTGTGGCAGACATAGGTGTCGTGGCAGTAGTTTCCTGAACAAACTCTTTCACAAGGAGCTTCATTGCTATTAGAATTTCGAAGATCCCTTGATTCACCGCGTAGGTACATTCAAGATGTCCCGATCTTTCGAGTACATAAGCAGCAATTTTTTTTTTCTTTTTCCTTCCGGAAAGGCAAAGGTCTATGCAAATTTTATTTGGGTGAAAAATCGAAGGACCAGATTCATCTTGTCTATGACAGATATTGAATGGCGGCAACTTAAGTCATGACTCAAGCAAAACATTATGCCATCAATGTGTTTATTGAACTTTACACGAATTAGCAGTACCTATATTATATTGTTGAGATCAGATGTTCCCAGACTTTTTTTCTCATAGACAAATTTAGCTGGTTCCGGTGGACCCCCTGCAGCTACATTTCTACCATATTCCCAAAACTCGATAAAAAATGTGAAGATTAGATCTAACCATGGAAATTTGCAACGCAAATTGCTGAGTTCCAATCACAAATTAATAGTTTTCGAAAAAAAAAGTGCGAATTTAATTGATTGTCCTGTGAGTGGATGTCAAAAAAGTAAAGACACGTTGTACTGAATATGGAGTATGCAAGTTTTTACAAGTAACAGCCGCCGAGCTATATTATAAATTATTATCTGCTTGCATTGATAGGTGAAGTCAAGCCAACATTTTTGTTCTTCACTATCGAAAGCAGATAAATTTTCGTGGAACCCCGCTTACGAATTGTCAACCCCCATCTTTTGTCACGCCAAAGTAGACCCCCGTCGAGTCTCCCGTGGACCCCTGGGGGTCCACCTGGACCACTTTGGGAACTAAGGGTTTAGATAAATATTTAATTACGTGTACAGTTATTAGCTAAATCAATGAGTAGGAATGGACAATAAATACGTAATATTTCATCTGACGATACAGGCGTGAGTAGTAAGAAAATGCCTATATGGAGAGTCTTCCAATAAGAGGTTTCATTTTGATATGTAAAAATGGAGTATTTTTAAGCGAAATCATCGGATGTTTATTTAATAGTAAAGAGGAGGGTATATTAATAATGGAAAACAATATCAGTTAAATGGCCGCCACGGCTGCGCTTGCAGAACCATATTCTTTTCATGAAATTTTCCATAAACAATTTGCACATTTACTGCTGTATGTCCTCGATAACTTCACGAATTCCATTTTTGAGGTCTTGTATCGATTGTGGGTCATAGGCATAGACCTTATCTTTCACGTAGCCCCAAAGAAAAAAGTCCAAAGGTGTCAAATCACAAGATCTCGGTGGCCAATTGTGATTGCCTCCTCTTTTGCAATATATACATATCAAAATGAAAGCTCTTATTGGAAGACCCTTTACTATAATTCTAAATATTAGATAAGTACAGGTATAGCGGGCAAGATAAATTATGTAAAGCAATTGGAAAAATGCAATACCAGACATAGATACCGTCACATTATGCCAGGAGTAAGATAATTTTAACGCTGTCATTGGACTTACGTATTAAAGCACTAATATTATACTAAAAATTATACGTAGATAATTCAATAGATAAGTAATCTCAAAGACAGAACTGTTTACATATAAGTGATAGACTTAGGCGGTCTACTTTGATTTGTCTTTCGACGTACGTAGGTTAATTAGTTACCTACTTTACCTACACGTAGCTATGAAATCCAATACAACTATCATCTACCCACTGTCTTTAATTCATCAATGAATTAAAGAAGAATCTACTGATTAAACAAAATAGTTTAAAACGTCAGTTGATTACTCACGAAATATAACTTTCACATTTTGAACCAGATTAATAGCTGTACGTATTTAGAGCCATCTTGTCTCCCACAAGTTGAGAACGCAAGCAATACGATAGTTGTTTATTAGGTTCAATTTTTGTAGTGCATACTGGCTACATACATTGTTAACTCTAGGCCACCGCTAAGCACATTATACTCCTATTTCCAATCACAAAACTTGATAGAACACTCAAATTCACAAAATAACAACACACCATCATTAATTTTGTACAAAACTCGTTTCGATTTACACTAAAAACTATTAAAAAGTTCGAAAAAAGATCACTCAGCCGACCGGACGACATCCGCGGCCCGTCGAACCAAACAAACTTGCCAGTTCTCAACAATACATTCAACTGAACGACAGCAACGGTGAATTATATCTTGCATTTCTTTCTACGTCTATTATACAACCGTAACAAGAAGATACCTCACTATTTTGCAACTCACACGGCGAATACTGTCTCAAATTTAGCCGCATAACATTCTTTTGAAAACACTGCACAAGTGCGAAGAGCATAGCAATAGTAACAGGCTGGTATTCTCATAGAAAGAGACAGCATCGTATAACCGTATGTGTTGAAGTGAGATAGGTATACGAACGACAAAACGGATTATCACGTGCGTGACTCAAACAAGACACCTTTTAATTATTATGCTAAAGGAAATTGAACTATGTCCCGTGGGAGAAAATATAAAATTTGTGTGTTACGTTTTCATTTTGAGTAATTTGTTTACATTGCAAGTATAGAATGGAGCGCGGTAGATTCAAAAGTTATTCGACCAGTGATGCCCATTTTCTTTGAATTCTGTATCTGTAAAAGGATAGAACAAAAATAGCTTTCTTACCTTAAAGGTATACTGGCGATCTGTTCAGTAATTTTAACTTCTTTAGTCCATACATCATTGTTATTTATATTTTTCGTCAATTTCAACTTCGATTTTGCTTCTTTAGGCCTTAGAGGTGGTGGTAGAATACCTCCATGCTCCTTGATAACCGAAGGTTTCGGAGCCTGGGCCTTTTTCACGATTTGCAACACTACATTTGGACTTTTTAAGTCATGATTAGGTTTTGTTTTAGGAACATCGACAGCTTTTGATCCTCCGGGGTCAATTTCCTTTAGCCTTGTTGGTATTTTATCAGGTTTCTTCACTAATGGTTTCGCACGTTCAATGCCTCTTCTAACTTTTACTTTACCAGATGATTGGCTGTCTGGCGCTGAAACTGAACATAAAATATGAGGAACACTAAAAACATAACAAACGAGTCTCCAAATTAGTTACATTGTTACCTATTCTAGGCCGGGTTTTTGAAACAAGTTTTGTCTCCGCGCTACCTATTTTGGTAAATGTGTCAACGGAGCACGAAGAAGTGGCGGTGGGTACCGCTTTGATGCGAGAGCTGAAGGTTGTTTTGAAGAAATTTGCTGATAAACCTTTACTTCTTAGTGAACCACTCGGAGGATACCTAGAAAACAAAAAAAATAAGTCTAGGAGGAAATTAGAGGACACACGAATTTGCACCGGGGACCTCTCGATCTGCAGTCAAATGCTTTACCACTGAGACCTAGAAAACAAAAAAAATAAGTCTGGGAGAAAATTAGGGGACACCCGGGTTTGAACCGGGGACCTCTCGATCTGCAGTCGAATGCTCTACCACTGAGCTATATCCCCATTGTTTACACTGGTAAAAATAGCGATTAGTACTTGCAACAAAAGCGACCCCTACAGATACATTGTGTCAAAAAGCAAGTCAAAAAGTACATTGGTTGAAGGATAGATGGCGCTGTTTGTCACATAAAGAACATCCTTTGGCTAATAATGGTGTAACAGTGTGATTTGCTGTGACTGCATTGTTACGAATGAGTTAAATATATTTGTAATAAATACTTACTGAAATTTATTGTTGTTGTTAGGCACCACTGGCGCCTTCTGCTGCATAACCTCCTCTATCTGCAACAATGAAAGGAATATTTTAAAATCTTATTTCGATCTAAACTTTCTTATGAATAAAATTATCATTATTAAGGCAATTTTTTCATCGGTATTGGAATAAATTATTCGAGGCTATCGGCGCAACAGTGGTATAAACCCATATTCAATTTTTTTCTACAATATTTTAAATGGTTACACCCCATGTTATTCGAATTCGAATGATGTGTACGGATCTCTTTAGTCCATAATTCTGGATTATGAGCGTTGTTAAATAATTGAACATTCTAAGGTTAAATGTTTTTTGGAGCATATTATTTTAGTATAGTAGACACTTATGTAGTGCAATATTCTTTCGAGAAAGGTTTAATTTTATTAAATAATTAAATAACATCAATTGAATCAGGACTTATTAAAAAAGTTATCATCATCGCAAAATCACCATCCTTCACGTAATGTCATCTTTATCAATATTAATAATATTACCACTAAGAATCTGTATTCTTTAGTCTTACGCGTGCCTGTCCACATTGCAAATTATTATTTTAAGTCTAAATTATTACAAAGCTATCTTATTAATGATAATTAAATGTAAACTCGTTTAGATCTCGACGGCAGCCGTGAGAATTTATTTTATTTGTTTTGGCAGTTTACTGTCACGCATTTTTTACCTCATGTATGGCATCCTTAGACTATGGATTTTTCCGTCCTAAAGATGACATGCTACTAGGCTTGGACCCGTGTCAGTACTAAGGAAATTATGGCGATCATCGCCAATGTTAAAATGTGTCGATCTTCTCATGCTTGTCAATCTTGTTTTTTAGTTCTCGTGGAGCAATGTTTTTATTCTCGTACAGTCATTTACTTATAAAAACCTATCTTGTTGCTTAGTTTTTTCCATATTCTAAATCTTGTTAGAAACTACCTTTGGAAGTCATGAATAAAATTAAAAAAAACTTTAAAACTGTTAGTGGCTAAAACGCTTACCGCGAGAAGCCAAAAAAAACGAAAGGGGTCTATTAATGGGCAAAGTATACAAAAGAGACCGTAAGAAAAATTACTATTATGGCCTTTTGTCATTTTTGTGCAAGATTTATTACCAGATTGCACAAGATCGTGTGTAATAGCACAGTTATATTAGCTACAAAACTACCTATCAAAGTTTAGCCGTCTTATTTTGGCGCCCTTTATACCATTACAATCAGAGCTCAAAATAATTTATCTGATATGCAATATGCCTAATAGGTATATGCAATAAAAAATAGATACATGGTACGAAAATAGATATGTCCATGCAAGAAGATTTAAAAAAAGCGTTATGCGTTTCGAATCAACGTTTTTTTCGCTGTTATTGCATGGACAAAGCTTTTACTGACTGGCTCAAGCCAATTGTGGCCGGCTTAAGCCGATATGGTGACTCCCTAAAGCAAACATGTCAAATGGAACTTTATTTTTTTTCCATCCTCTAAATCAGCCACAGAGAACTATGGAGTCATTATAGAGTACGTAGTCCTATAGGTTAAGAAGACGCAAAAAATATCAAACACATATTGAGCTACTACGAGAATTACATTACACAATATAAAGCATAACTAACGTGACCACAGACATCTGTGAACGTGACTATTATTTTTTTCCATCAGGGTGAGACGCCTGTAAATTTATTGCTTCACAAATAAAACTCAGGTTTGTGATGAAATAAAAAATGTTTAATCATCGAAAATTTCAACAAAAACACTAATCTTGTGTTGGTAGGCTGGTTTTATATATTTTTGGTTTTCGCGCCACTTTTTCTTATTATCACATGTGTCCTATTTTGGTAAAGCCGGATATTTTCAGTATTTTGGGGACAGCGGAATACGAAGTTTAAAAGCGGGACTGTCCCTCTCAATGCGGGACGTATGGTCACGTTAAGCATAACGCACAAGAAATGTAAGTATTTTTTATCGTGATGCGAATGAAGCTTCATTCTTGATACTTGTCTTTTAATTTTGTCGAATATTACTTATTTCACAGTAATTGTTTTGGGACGGATATCGGACTGAGATCGAGAGTAGACCCCCTGGTCTCAAACTAGGGAATTCCCCGATGAGTACTGAAGCAACGGAGTTCGGAGGACCAATTTAGAACCGATTTCGATGATTCTTTTTTTGTTAGAAAGAGGGTACTCTTGGTTCCATTTAAATTTGAAGAAAATACTCCAACTCTAAGGGTGGCAAACTAGGGAATGAATCAGGTTTCGAGCACTTTCTGGTAACCGATTTCAATAAAACTTGGCAAATAGATGTAATATTAGAAACGTTCGAGGTCGGTTTCTTTTTTATAAAAAAAGTTTTAGTAGCAGCAGAGCTCCTTATGAAAGAGTTCGTCCAGAGTAGTACTGCCACCTTACCTATTTCTGCCGCCAAGCAGTATAAAAAAAGTTTTGAAGGGTAAGGGTGCTGGTGAAATTACAGGTACATGGGACTTGTCAACTTATATCTCAGGGTGACGGGCGCAATGGCAGTGCCCCTCAGATCTTTGCAATTTAAAGCTCTGAGTGGCACTGCAACTGTTATGGACAGGCGTGTAGCTTACCATCAGGCGCACGACTTGCTCGTCCCGTCACTTGATGTTATAAAAAACGCTTTTACTTTTAAAACATTGTATTCATCGTTTGTGAGAAGTATCTTAGAATTTGGAAGTGGAGTTTGGAACCCTCGTTATAAAGCGCATGTTGATGCTTTAGAAAAAGTGCAAAAAAGTTTATCAAGAGCCTTTGTTATCGGACTGGTGCAGAGTACGTTAATTATGACACTTCATGAAAGGAATTTAAATTTCCTTTCTTACACAATAGGAAAAACTTTATTAATGCGTTTTTCTTGTACAAATTATTAAATAATTACATCGATTCGCCGGATCTTTTACAAAAAATTTGCCTTAAAGTCTCTCGCATCACTCAATAGGACTAACTCCCACAGAAATGGTTTCTTTAGGCGCTCTTTGGATTTTTATAATGAAAATTTAAGTCTAATAGACATATTTGGCATTTCTTCACAAGGTTATAGGGTCAGGGTAAGAGAAGCTTTATTTTAACAACAAAAATGTAGTGATAAAATTATTTAGTATAAAATTTAGAGTACTTGTACATGTAATTAAGTAGCATTAATTATTTAAGTTATTAATTTTTGTTATTTTTTATGGTATTCTTCTTCTTTTTTGCTTGTGACGTTTCGCTCATTATCTTATTTTAGTTTTTGTTATTGGACCTCTAGGTCTGTATGTATGTCAATTTTGATTTATTACCTGTCTGTTCACGACCGTTTGTTTCCTTAAATACATAAAATCTACAGTTCAGTCTACATTTCGTGCCCTTAGTATAATAAAGTCAGTCACATGTGATCATTCATGGTCATAAAAATAACATAACAAATTACGTTTTTTGAAATTTTACAACTCTCCTACTTAAGGATAAAAAAGTTACCGACTTATTTCTTTCGCAAACCTTTCTCTTCAAAAGTTGTCATTTTGCAGACGTGTATTTATTGCAGGGTGCGGTTTGAAGGTGTCATTCCTCGAATAGGTAAATTATCAAAAGGTTTTTTTTATAATACCAAATGACGAGACGAACAAGTCGTGCGCCTGGTGGTAAGCGACATGCCTATCCGTAACAGTTGCAGTGCCACTCAGAGCTTTAAATCGTAAAGATCTTAGGGGCACTGCCACTGCGTCCTTCACTCTGAGACATAAGTTGACAAGTCCCATGTGCCTGTAATTTCACCAGCACCCCTTCTAAACTGCTTGGCAGCAGAAATAAGTAAGATGGCAGTACTGCTACTAATGTATACATATAAATGGTGCTAATATTTTTACTAACCTTTCTACAAATTTTCCTGGCTGCTCTCACAACCATGATGAATTATAAAGTGAAATATTCCACCACAATTCTGCCACTGACTCTGAGAGTCCTTGGACGTTAAAAGCACGGTACACTGTACCCACACCCACTGAGTACCGCTCATTGAAATGACACTGTCTGATGAAGGTTTTGATTTTTTCCCACGGTTCAAGTTACAGGAAATGTATATGTACAGTGGTATACCTTGGTATACCAAGGTACCATTTGGTCCACAAAGCTACATGTGTCATTTTACGTCAAAAGAGCTTTTATCACATAATACGAATTACATGAAATTATATCGAGTCATGACCGCCGACTTATCGTAAGCGACTTTTTCACCTAACCAGCGTTTATTACCGCAAATGATATTTTAAACTATAACGGACAAGGACGCGTCGATATTTCCCGCCAAAATTACATCAAATAGAAATTATAGCAAGAGCCAAGTTTATCGTTAGCTCAACTGTTTTTTATATTGTAATGTAATCGACAGAATCAATGCAAAAAAAATCATAACACGTAAGCGAGCCCACTTGTTATCGCAACCGAAATAGTACATCACTATTTCATCGTTTACTATAAGCAAAATGGCAAAAAACGTGTTGCACTTTGGTGCTTATTTTTAATCGCAACCAAAAATCTTTAGATAGAAATAGTTAAAATATTGTAAGCGCCAAAAAGGCGTTAGGCCCTTTGCTGTAAGAGCGGTTACAGACAAAGACTTTTAGCAGTGATGCAAACACTATGCATACGCAATGCAGTAGTGGTGTAGTCGCTATTCATCTACGTACCTTTACAGACGCGCGCGATTTTAAGCAGCGATTCAAGCGCGCGACTGCATCGATACAAACGATTTATATATGTTAAAATTCAATTTAACATCACATTTCCATGTGGAAATATTTTTAAAAAACCCTCTCCTGTAAAATTTGTTTTTGTCGCTTCTACTAGTTATACATAATTGTATTAATTATGTACATATGAAATTTTATAAGTCTCCTATTTAAGCACAAAATGTCATCAACTAATTTCGTTCGTATAGAATCTTCATTTCACTTCAATCATCTTTGCAACGTATGTCGCAGAGACGCAGAGACGATGTTCTGGAGACCCCATTTGGGAAGACGAAGTGTGAGTAAAC